TTAGTTTATAATTTTAAAAGCTTTAGTGTCATGTATTATCCTTCATTTATATAATTATTTTCCATAGTCTTTGCTGAAAAAGTTAGGTACTACCACATTAGAAACATGAATTTCTTTGTAAAATTTTATCTATGAAGATGTTTCATCAAAAATTATTACATTAATTGGGCTTTTAGTAACTACTAAGGCTTGAGCAAATACTGAAGCTTTTTCTGTGATCAGTTTATTATGACTTTACATGAATTTTCTGGTGTACAGTGAGTTGGGATTTCTGAATGAAGGCTTTCCCACATATAGTACATTGATAAGGCCTTTCCCCAGTATGAATTCTCTGATGTAAAACAAGGTCTGACTTCTGGGAAAAGGCCTTTCCACATTCAGCACATACATAAGGTTTTTCTCCTGTATGAATTCGCTGATGCCCTGGGAGGTGGGACTTCTGTGAGAAGGCTTTCCCACATTCAGTACACACATAAGGTTTTTCTCCTGTGTGAATTCTCTGATGTCCAATGAGATGTGATTTCTGGCAGAAGGCTTTACCACATTCGCTACATGTATAGGGTTTCTCTCCAGTATGCGTTCTCTGATGAATGATGAGCTGGGACTTCCGGGAGAATGTTTTCCCACATTCAGTACATTCATAGGGCTTCTCCCCAGTATGAATTAACTGATGTGTAATGAGTTCTGTCTTTCTGCTGAAGGCTTCCTCACATTGAGCACATTTGTAGGGTTTCTCACCAGTGTGAATCCTTTTATGTATAATGAGGTGGGACTTCTCACAGAAGGCTTTCCCACATTCAGTACATTCATATGGCTTCTCTCCAGTGTGAGCTCTATGATGTATAATAAGCTGTGACTTCTGGGAGAAGGCCTTTCCACACTCTCGACACGCATAAGGTTTCTCTCCCGTGTGAATTCTCTGATGTATGATGAGGGGTGATTTCTGGGAGAAGGCTTTCCCACATTCATTACATTCATACGGTTTTTCACCAGTGTGAACTCTCTGATGTATAATGAGGGACGATTTCTGAGAGAAGGCTTTTCCACATTCGGAACACTCGTAAGGTTTCTCCCCAGTATGAGTTCTCTGATGTACAATGAGATGAAACTTCTCACTGAACGCTTTTCCACATGCACCACAATCATATGGTTTCTTTCCAGTGTGAATTCTTTGATGTACAATGAGCTGTGACTTCTTAGCAAAGGCTTTTCCACATGTAATACATACACAGGTTTTCTCCCTCGTTTCAATACTCTGATACTGAATAATGGATTGTTTATTGCTGAAAATGTTTCTACACTGATTATCAACACAGGGTATTAGTCCATTGTGAATTTTCTCAAGATTAAAATTGGATGCATTGTGGCTAGATGATTTTTCACACCCAAAACTTTCTTCAAGGTTTTTTCTTGAATCACTTGTTTTACAACTAGATAGGTCAACATTTGGTTTTAAGTTCTTTTTAAATGTATCATATTTATAGAGTTTTTGTCTTGCTATATCTGGTCTTATGCACTCTTGAAATCTTTTATGGTTTGAGGTGCCAGTCACTGTTTTATTGTTGATGAATGTGACTTGCCTGAAAAGTTTGTCTTGGTTTTCCTCACATCTCTGTAGCTGGCCATCACCTTGGCAGACTTTTAAAATGGAATACAATGAATCATCTTTTTTTATTCCTTTCAGTGTCTTATTAAGAAAGGAAACAGTCCCCAAAATACAAGATTGGGCATTGTGAAGGTTACTCTTCCTGTCTAAAAAAAGGAAAGATAAAAATCAAACAGTCATAAGAGACAATTGACAGAGTACAGAAAAGTAGAACAAATGGATGAAGAACACAGAAAACAGGGGTGGAGATGAGCCATACTGAAGGACAGTACAAAATACAGTATGATAAGGTGTACAGATAGGTACAAATGTTAAAGAGAAGTATTTATGTAAAAACTAGACCTAAAGAAGATAGTTAAGTGTGTGGATTCTTATCACTGTAATCTTCAATTACTCTCTCCATTTATCCTGCTTTCTAAATTTCTAAATAGAAATTATTGGGACCAGCAATTAGTGTAATGGCTAAGTCGCTGGACTCAGATGTAGTCGACTGTGGTTCGCGTCCCGGACCTAGTGGCTTAAAACTCATGCCAGGCGCATGGCATGTGTGCGTGTCCAAGATCCCGAGAGGAGAAGGGAGGAGAAGGGATTATGGTGTGGCCATCCCCCCTGGGGGATGATTTCTTGCCTTCTGTCTCTCTCTCTCTCTCTCTCTGTCTGTCTGGCGAGAACACGTGCCCTATAGCAAAAACCTCTAAAATTTTAAATAAATAAAATAAATAAACAGAAATTATTTTTATCTTTTGAATTCACCTATGTTATAACCCCTTTGCTATATATACTTAGCCATTATCCTGCCACCACTCCAAAGAAACAAGCTCTCTTTTGTACTCAAAATACTTTCACTTTCCTCAGTCTATTTTCCCAGTTGACCACTAACACAAACAACAGAAAAATTCAAACTTCTGCTATGGATTTTTTATCAGATTCATACCAGAATACATGCTCGAAATAGTCTTGATCAAAATGTCTTCTGAAGAAGCAAGGTACAACTAGCAAGGTTCTCCTAGGAAAACCTATCTTCCTAACTGCAAGGTTGTCTTCACATACTCCCCTCCACATTGTCTGCCTTCACCCTTCTCCTTTGGCTTTATCAGCCCTTATGTCATTCAGAACAGCTACAGCTACAAGGTTTGAAAAATGCCTTCTCAAATTCTGCCACATCTCAAGGCTATAATTTTCTCTGAACTCTTAAAATACTGATTGTATTTGACATTTAATTTTGTACACTTATGTATCTGGGGTCTTTACCTCCTAAAGTATAGCTTTTGTTCTTAGAAGGAGTTTCCTTTCTGCTACCTTTAAAGTCCTTCATAAAAAGCATTATAAAACTATCTATATCGGGGACCAGTAGGTGGTGTGTTAGTTAAGATGCTGGATATTTCCACATGACTGACCACAGTTCGAGTCCCAGACCTGGTGGCTTGCTTTCTCACTTTCTCTCTCTCTCTCAGTCTCTCTCTTGTCAAATTTAAAAAAAAAAAATGAATGGATAAAATTTTTTAAAAATTCTTAAAAAATTTAAATCTAACTATCTATCTATTGATCTCTCTATAGGTTAAGAGGATCAACAAGAAACAGCTCTCCTCTGAAATGCTCACAATTACTTTCTATTATTTGTTGAATGCCTACTATCTACAATAATTATTTGCTGAATGTCTACTAAATTCTCAACACAAGAACAAAGAACAGAAGATTTCAACAAAGATAGAAGCACAAGTCCCAGACACCAATTAAAAAATAAATAAATAAATAAATAAATAAATAAATAAATAAACTGATATTTTACTTCCCTTGTGTCCCATCTGCCTGGTTTTCATCTTGATAGATCCAATTTGATATGTCTCTCTTTAGGATCCATGGATCTTCTCCTTGTTCCAACTTGGAAATGACATCTGGTTTGGAAACTGGATAGCCTATTTAGTAGAAATCATAGAGGAATTAGGATTTACTGCATCAAAGGGAGAAGATAAAGTAGTTTTAGATTAGATTATTTAAAGTTGTCCAGCTAGCCCTTAGGAAAATAGTAATCTCCATTTGAGAAGGTATCAAAATTATAATGTCACTCTGCATATGTCAGGAACCACCCAATTTTTGCAACTGAGAAGGAAAGGCACTTGAGTGGACAACTCTTGAGTTTTGCAAGGAAGCCATCCTCACCCATCGAGACCAGGTGGTTGTAGTTCTCCAGCATCACATCCCTGTACAGGGTCCTCTGAGCAGGGTCCAGTTGCTGCCACTCTTCCTGGGTAAAATCCACAGCCACATCCTTGAATGATACTAACCCCTGTAACAGGATAGCCTTCTTTATTCTGAAGTAATTGCTCTGATAATTTCTACTATAGTATATAATACGATACTCACACCTAGTTTTGCATCAGTTTCAGGAAGAAAAAATGTAAAATCCTATCTTTAGAAGGAAGAGCAAGACAGAAAAAGAGAAGAAGCAAACCACAAATCCTATCTTTAGAAGGAAGAGCAAGACAGACAGAAAAAGAGAAGAAGCAAACCACGAAAATATTAAAATGATGAGATATGGGGCCATCAGGTGGTGTCGTGGTTAAGGCATCAGGATCTCACATGTTAAACTGCATGGTTCAAGTTCTGGACCTGCAGCTTGAAAATCACGCTGGGCGCGTGAGCGGGCGTGCCCAAAATCTTGAGAAGAGAGTGGAAGAAAAGGATTATAGAGTGGCCAACCCCTTGGGGGATGATTTCTTGAAAAAAAAAAAAAAATTATTTCTCAAGAAGAAACTTGACCATAGAGATAGACACACATAGAGAAAAGATGATGTAAAGAGACATAAGAAAAAGATGGTTATCAACAAGCCAAGGAGAGAGGCCTGAAACAGGTCCTTTCCTCAGAGCCCTCAGAAGGAATCAATCCTATAGACACCTTGATTTTGGACTTCTAGCCTCCAGAACTGTGAGACAATAATTTTTTGTTGAGAGAGATAGAAAGTGAGAAATCACCCCCTAGGAGGAATGGCCATGCCACAATCCCTTCTCCTCCATTCTCCTCTTGGGATTTTGGGTGCACACACACATGCACATGCACACAGTGTGTAAGTTTTAAGCTGGTTGTAAGTGTAAGTTTCAAACTGTGGTTAACTATGTGAGAGACCAGTGACGTAACCATTACTCCATCTGTTGGTCCCACAAATTACTGACAGGGCAATAAAGTAAAGGACTTTGGGTAAGCATAGGGCTATAAAATTTCTTTGGAAAGAAAACTGACTATGTTAATTATGTCACCATTACTTTCGCAGTAGTTGTCAACCCAGGGGGCATGGCCACGCCGCAATCCCTTCTCTTCCATTCTCCTCTCGGGATCTTGGGCACGCATGCACATGTGCCCGATGTTTGTTTTAAGCCACCAGGTCTGGGACATGAACCACGGTCGACTATGTGGGAGTCCAGCGACATAGCCATTACGCTAACTGATGGTCGCATTTGCTTCCACCTTTGCAGACACCATCAGTCTCAGCACAGTCTTAAGCTTTGGGGCCAGCAGGTGGCATGGTAGTTGCTAGATTCCCACATGGCTGATAGCAGTTTGAGTCCTGGACCTGGAGGCTTGCTTTCTCACTTTCCCTCTCTCTGACTCTCACTCTGTCCCTCTCTGGTGAAGTTAAAAATAAATCATAAGTAAATAAAGTTAAATAATTCTTTAAAAAAAAGAAACTTGAGATAAAACCAGAGCCACTCAGTCGCAGTGGGACAGGGGCTGCTGGGGTCCAGACGGGGGTCACCATGATCCGCTTTATCCTCATCCAGAACTGGGCTGGCAAGATACGCCTGGCGAAGTGGTACATGTAATTTGATGACGATGAGAAGCAGAAGTTGATTGAGGAGGTGCACACTGTGGTCACCGTCCAAGATGCCAAACACACCAACTTTGTGGAGTTCAACTTTAAGATCATTTACTGGTGCTATGTTGGCCTCTACTTCTACATTTGCGTGAAGGTCAATGACAACAACCTGGCCTACCTGGAGGCCATCCACAATGAGTATTTCCACAATGTCTGTGAACTGGACCTGGTGTTCAACTTCTACAAGGTTTACACGGGCGTGAATGAGATGTTCCTGGCCGAGAGATCCAAGAGACCAGCCAGATGAAGGTGCTGAAGCAACTGCTCATGCTGCAGTACCTGGAGTGAGGCAGTGGTGGCCTGACCTCTCCTGGCCTCCTCTGCTCATGTCCCCTGTCCTGGCCTGTGACTCACCCACAGCCCTTGCCCTCCACTGCCAGGAGGAAGGGACCCAGCTGGGTCTGGGCCACAGCTGGGGGCAGAGGCCACCCTGTGTGTCCCAAATAATCGTGCCATTGTCATATGACTGTGTGTGTGTGTGTGTGCGTGTGTGTGAGCAGAGCCCCCAGTAAACCTGTGGTCCTCCTGCTTGGCAAAAACAAAAACAAAAACTTAAGCTTTTGTTCCTCCCATACCAAGTCCCATATCATCAAGTTGCCAAGTATTTAATTTGTCCATAACAACTCTGATAAATTTTCCTGTATCATATATAAGGAAACTGAGGATTACAGTTGTTAAATAGCTACTTGTCCAAGGTTACACGTTGAATATACGATTGATTTATTCTCAGATTGACAAGATTTATTCTGACTTGATAGCATTAATTCTTGGCTATTGTGCTCCAAAATGCCACCCTGATACTGTAAACATGATCTTTTATATTTCATTGCCATGATCTAGTCCCTATCTTAATTTTCCTGAAATTCTTGGCCTTCCTGAAATTGTCTGCTTGCTCTACTTTTTTAAATGCTGCTTCCTACCCTCACTCCACTTCCCTCAGGATCCAAAGTTTAATGATTGTTTAAGCCTGTTCCCTGCTTCTTCTTCTTCTTTTTTTTTTTTTTTGGAGAGGTTTTTCGCTATAGGGCGTGTGTGCTCGTCAGACAGACAGAGAGAGACATAGAGACAGAAAGCGAGAAATCACCCTCCAGGGGGGATGGTCACGCCACAATCCCTTCTCCATTTTCCTCTCGGGATCTTGGGCATGCACGCACACGCACCCAGTGTGAGTTTTAAGCCACCAGGTCTGGGATGCGAACCGCGGTCGACTACGTGGGAATCCAGCGACATAGCCATTACGCTAACTGCTGGTTCCCTGTTCCCTGCTTCTTTAGAAAGCTGGTTGCAGCCACCTCTCTGCCCTACTGGATTCTTGCTCCACATCTGTTACAGAGCTTTTATGTGTCACTGTTGGTTTCCACATCTCTTTCCCAACTTTCTTCTGCATCCAACCCAGAAAGAGCCAGGCCAATATTTTCTTGAGATACTCAGCAGGTAGCCACTACATATGATATATATTCAATACTTAAGAAATGTTTGCTAAAAATGAATAAATGAAGACTATCAATAATAAATTTTAACTCATGTTTAGTTAAAAGTTTTCTGTATTGGAACCAGCAGTTAGCGTAATGGCTATGCCACTGGACTCCTATGTAGTTGACCGCAGTTTGAGTTCCGGACTTGGTGGCTTAAACTCATGCCGGGCGCATGTGCTTGCGTGCCCAAGATCACGAGAGGAGAATGGAGAAGGGACTGTGGCATGGCCATCCCCCTGGAGGGTGATTTCTTGTTTTCTGTCTCACTGTCTCTGTCTTTCTGGCGAGCGCACGTGCTCTATAGAAAAAAACTCTCCAAAAAAAAAAAAATAATAATTAATTAAATTAAAGTTTTGTGTATTAGTCAACTATAGTTCTTTGACCTGAAGATCACATGAGAAAGATAATAAATACGGATTGCAGAGAAAGTCCATCCTGATAGATACATTAATAGATGTTGATAATTTTAAGACACAGTTATAGGAAATCTACTGTTGCGGGGCCGGCAGGTGGCATGGTGGTTAAGGGTGCTGGATACCCACATGGTTGACTGCAATTCGAGTCCCGGACCTGGCAGCTTGCCTTCTCACTTTCTCTCTCTCTCTCACTCTGTCCCTCTCTGCTCAAATTAAAATAAATAAATGAACAAATAAATAAAGTTCAATAAAATAATTATTTTAAAAAAAAATCTACTGTTGCAATTACCAAAGGAGGGCTAATAAGAATATTCTACACTCTATCACTTAAAGAAAGACCTAGAAAGGAATTTTTTTGAGTCTTATAATGGCAGTAAATATTTTATTCACATGGGAAATTTATCTGCTTTCTCTTTAGGTGAATACAAGTCATGTAATTGATGCCTGCAAGAAAGATCAAGCAAACTGATACATTAGTTTATAAAGTGGTTTCAAGCTAGATACTCTATGTGTTACCCAGCAACCATTTCAAGGTCTTGATCCTTATTCTTGCTACCTTTTCCCTAATCCACAGTCTAGCTATCTGTACTTTCCATTTGATTGTATAGAAAACGAAGGGAGAAATCTTTAGAACAGCAACTTACCCAGGACTTCATCATTTTCTGCTCTCTTCCAAAAAGGCAGATGCCTGAAGAAAATAAAGCTGGTGATAGGAATCAAGTTTTCACCACCCAAATCCCAACAGCAGCTTCCCACCTTCATCAGTGTAGAAACCACCACCATCAGAAGTCGGGTGGGTAACAAAGCACGTCGTGAAGAAGGTTGTTTTCACCCTACAGAAGCATCAGCAGCACTATGTGGAGGGGGCACCAGCCATTACTCCTCTTGCCCGTGACATGGTCATGTATATCTTGGACAAGGATTTCTTTAATAACATTTTAAAAAAACATTTATTTTATTTTACTTTATTTATTTTAATTTGATGGGGGGAGGGGAGAGAAAGAGAGAAAGCAAGTCACCAGGTCTGGGACTCAAACTATAGTCAACCATGTGGGAGTCTAGTGCCTGTAACCACCACGCCACTTGCTGGCCCCACTTTGACCAGGTTTTTAATTGGTGAAGATTTGTTTCCAGCTGACTTACTAACAACTTACTGCTCCCCCATGGGAACCAGCAATTCTATTTTAGAACATATCATAATGCAGTAATTGTATAAAGATTTATATAAAGATTTAGCTGCAGATGAAGTTCAAAAAAGAATGAGATCAAATGGGAAACTAAGGAATACATTCCATTGTTCTCCAGAAGCAGCTGAACTCCAATAATGTTCCAAGAGCTTTCACATATTTTTCCCTAATTTGTCAAACTCACCTGCCAAATCAATATTCAATGACTACAATATTCATTTTTAAGATGTTTTCTCTTTAAATTTTTATTGCCGATTTTCAGCAGTGCCATTGTCTGCCTACAAAAATGGCGACAGTTTGGATCTACTGACAAAAGGAAATACACTACAATACAAGAAGGTACACACCTGGTAAATTTTTCTCAGTCCCAGGATGAGTCTGGTGGACAAAGTTGAACTGGTGCAGAGGAAGTGGTGGCTCCCATGACAGAGAGACTGTTTTATATTGTGTATCCTGGGCTGTATCAAAACAGATCTGAAAGGAAACAATGAAGAAAAATAAGTCATACTCTCATCTAGACACTAAGCAGATGTTTCCATCTTCTTAAATAAAATATAAAATGATTTCAATACACTTGGTAGCAAGCACTTTTTAAAATAATGCTATCCCTTTTGATTTGTTTGGTCTAAATCACCGTTTCTGAGAGGAACACCTGCCTAAGGGGGCAGTGGTGGACAGAGAGATATGAGAAGGAGCTTCAATTTAAGAACTCAGCAGCTGCCCCTTCCCCAGTAAACTGTGGCTGAATACCATGAAGCCTTGACCCCACCACTGTCCCCTTCAGGTCTCGTAACCTATTACTGTGCTTCCCACGTCCATCACATCACTGGCCACACCGGCGCCCCAACATGTGGTCCACAGCCCTGCCCCACCTCTTGAATCCTCAAAGTCCTCTCAACCACCGACCCTGGGTATCCTACCAGATACCCTACCTACACTCCATTCCTGACCCCACAACACCCCATCCTTCCCCACTTACCAGTCACCTCCATCGTTCCACTCCTGACCCCAAATAAATCCAACTCCAACCCCACAGACCTCCCCCATCAGTGACTCCATAAACCTCCCGTCGCTGACCCTCACGGACCCCTCCACTCCCATTACCTCCCATAGACTCACTCATCCCCGCACACTGGTCCCCTCGGCTCGACAATCGGGTCCCCAGACGCCCATCACGGCTTAACGGGAACGGCGGTCACGTCCATACAAGTGGACTCTCCGGCTTCCCGTCGGAGAGCCAGCGCGGGGCTCCGGGGCCTGCGCTGCTCAGTTCGGGGACGATTTCGCCCGGTCCGCATCTTACGGGCCTTTGTTCAGGAGGCAGTATGGCGGCTCCCAGCTCGAAATCTTGAGCGCAAGACGCCATCTTGAGAGTGCGGCCGGTTCCGTACAGCGGAGAGATTCGATCCGGGACGCGGCTGGGGTTGGGCTGTCCCACCGCGGCCTCGGTGGGGGGAGAGGCGGAAAGGAGGAAGACGATACAAACCCACCAGGTGCAAACTTCGCTCTCGTATTTTTCAAGGGGGTTAAAAAGACTCAGTAATTTTCTGTGTGTTGGGAGGAGGGATATTGTGGGAAGAGAAGAGTCTGGGATGGTATTTTCGTTGGCGATCCTCCCCACATCCTGTTGTAAATGGTACAGCCCAATACTCGGCGAGTCGACTCCCCGAGCGGGGGTGAGACGTGGAATGGTACAATCCTCCCCCGGGAGATTCCACTGTGGGAGAAAGGAGCCCATCGTGGGGGCGGATCAGCGATCAGTAATAATAATAATAATGCATTTTCATTATGCTGATAACAGCGAGGAGGAAGTCTTCTAAGCCAAGTGACAACTGCAGTAGTAAGATGCCGAGGCCGACTGAAAGAAGAGGAAAACTGAGGGGCAGGAAAGACACTAAGGACTGATAAAAGACAGTGGGATGCAGAGAATCAGGGACTAAATGGAAAGGGGTAAGGGACGCCGAGGAAAGATCTACATAGGAGAAGAGATGGAATGCAGAAGGGCAAAAGTGCGAGATGGAGGAACAGAAGTGGGAACCTAAGAGAGCGTGTGTGTGTGTGTGTGTGTGTGTGTGTGTGTGTGTGTGTGAGAGAGAGAGAGAGAGAGAGAGAAAGTGAGAGAGAGAGACAGAAAAGGGAGACTAAAACGGGGAAGGGCACGAAGGGAGGCTGAGAAGGTTGTTTAGATTTCAGTAAGATTAAAAAAAATAATAATAACCAGCCAAACAAAACACTTCCTGCCGGAATTATCTAATCTTTATATCTTACATGATGTTTTTATACTAAAACAAAACAAAACAAAACAAAACATGATTAACAAGCTAATTTGACTTATAAATGAGTATATGAGTATAAACAAGTAACATTTTGAATCATCAGTTTTCACATGGGTCATGCTATTGGACATATCGTTAAATAAGCAACAACTTTACATTTAGCAAGTTCATTTTTCATGCCAAATAAAAACAAATCTGGACTTATCAATAGGTAAGGAGAGATTTAGAAAGAGTATTGCAGTAGGAAGAGTGTTCTAGTCTTGGAAATCTGCAAGCATCTCAAAGTCAAAGAGAAAAAGACTTCCTTGGAGGGAATAGTGAGAAGGTGTGAGTAGGCTCTTTCCCCTTCCCTCCTTCCTTCCTCAGAACTAGCCTCATGCCACAGCTAGGGATAGAAGTAACTTGTAGCCATTCATTACCTTTACCTCATGAAATTGGTCCCCCACTCAGGGGCATTCAGGAGGGATCAGAGTTCCACATCAGCATCACAAGGTTAGGGCCACTGAACGTTAATGCACTTTCTTGTTGCTTCTGTTGATTAATAACCTAATCTGTTTTGTATTCTCCAAACAATGTATGTAGAAACCAGATTTCTGCCTTGCTGAAGGGAATCTGTATTGCTCTTCGAATGATTTTATGCGTGTCTTTTTTAAAAAAAAAAAATTTATTTTATTTTGTTATTATTATTATTATTAAATTTGACCAGAGAGAGACAGAGAAAGGGA